AGCGTCATTTTCAGCCGAGTAGTGGCGCACTGCTCAACTCTGTCAAGTGAAGGGTCAAAGTTGAGTCGAGAAGCATTTGTGAATACGGTGGTAAATGATACACTCTAAAAAAAAAGAGCGAGTAAAAAGGGTGTCTTTTTGTCCCTCAACATAAATCGTTATCTATATTGCGTTCCATCTTTGCGCTATCGCCCTGCGCCCGGTACATTCCAGTCACGATCGACATGCCCATTATCAGGGTTACATTGCATTCTCGATAGGAAAGCGGCCAGCGCCGAGTTTTCAAGAAAGGAAGCGCACGCAAGCCTGATGAAGAGTATTGTTGTGGGACAAAAAGACACCCTATTTACTCGGTATTTTTTAGAGTATAGAAAAATCGCTTACCTTTGCGGTTAAGGCATACGTCGAACTTTAAACATTCTCAACTTGTCTCGTGCTTATTTCCTTCCTTTTCGTGGTTTCCAGTCGTCCCCTGTCCACGTACTAAAGCCACCTTACGTGGGTAAAACATTTCATTCGGCCATCGGCGCTTCATCCTGTATTATGCATCTGCCACGTTTTCGACGGTGTTTGATCTTTAGTCGTATCGACATTCTTCAATGCGTTGGATATTGCCTTGTCAACAATTTTCACTTTATTTTTTGTCATATGAGATAAATGTTGGTCATGTTGATTTGCCCCTTCACTGTTTCTGTTAACGTTTGTGGCAGCTCGGGCCATAAAGCTGCATATTCATAGTGAATATGCAGAAGACGAAAGGGTGGAATCATTTGAAGTGCGTCTACTCTAGCGATAAAACGAGGCAAGCAAGCGATTGACACTTTTTTTTCAATAATATTTGTTTTATATGCATTGATAACTTGCTGCGTCCTTAAGGCGCAGCAAGTTATCAGTTTGGCGACATCCTTAAAAATGGTCAGTAACGCTTTCAAAACATTCTCTAGGGGCTAGGAGAAGGGGGAAGGAACTTTCTAACTTTTTTGAGTGCCTCTCATGCATACGCATGGACTGTTAGAATATGTCGTACTAAGTCACGGTTTACTGCTGTCCTCAGGGACGTCAAGTTCAGTTGAAGCGTCTGTATTCGACCATAACTGGAAGAGAAGGGTGAATGTGAGCTTCTTTTACGATACCTTCGACCCTGACAGAGCGGAATGTTTGGGCGCGATGAATGTTCTGTCATTTCGTTTTCTATAGCCAAACACGAGATGTAGGTGTGCAGTAATGGCGCGCTGTATGCAATAGATAAACAGCCTGATGTCGTTTCTATCATTGACCTTCCGTGTTATGCGCTACGATAGATAAGGCATTTATGCGATCTTCCAAGTGTTTGTGCAATGTCGAAAGACAGGAGTTCCGGTGATGCGAGGCAATCTGACACGCGCACGTTCTAGTCGTGAAACCTGATATCGAACGACGCCGTAACCGTAAAAGCCAAGGCGAGTTGCGCAGAAGACGAAGAATGGCAGACGGCTTTGGCTTTGAACCAGAACCTGCCACGTGTCGGGGGACGTTGTTAAGACGCTGACTCTGGGAGAGATAATGCCTCCACAAGAACGCACTGATGGAAGGGTCAGGCACAGACTGCTCACGAATTCAAGTGCCCAAAACCTGCCTTATTCGGTCTTCCGTGAGGTTAGCACACAATCGCTGGTTGTCCTTAACCTTGGTGCTGCAGCTATTGTGCTCTCTGTTACTACTGGTAGTTATCCTAGCATTGCTCATTAATCTTCGCTGACAGATGAGTATGAAACGCTAACAAACGTCCCACAGACAGGAATGAGGTCTTCGAGAATCACAAGAGAATGATTGTCTATATATGGAGATTTGTAACGACAATACAAACCTTCCCATTTCCTTGAACATAAATTGTGATCAGTCGAGTCGAGTGACAATGTAATAGCCCGAATGAGACCTTTGTTTCGAGAAAGGCGATGGCACTGTTGAAGAAGTGGGTAAAAGGTCCATATTACAAAAGAGTGTTGGTTCGACAACGAAGTCTCAGTAAATTTTATTTATCTTCGCTCCTCTGGCATATGTGTAGGCTTCTGTGTGGTCAATATGTTTGATTTCGTCGATTTCTTATGACTTCCCGTGGGCTCAGATTTGGGTGCACGTTAAAGAACCCCAGGTAGTAAATATTTCCGGAGCCCTCCACTACGGCGTCTCTCATAAACATATGGTGGTTTTGGGACGTTAAACCCCACAAATCAATCGATTTCTTATGACTTTGTCTACATTTCCGAAACCGTATGTCGGTATGTCGACACGCGGTTGACAAGCGTCTTGGTATCACATTGTGCTTCGTGATTATTAACAACAGGGCTGTGTCCCATTAGTAACCATTAGTAGGCCGAATTCGCCGGGCGTGATAGCGTGTAGACGCCAAAAAAAAAAAACGCCATTTCTTAAAGAAAGGAAGGCTTTGTATGAACGATGCGGAGCGACAGAAAACAAGCTTAGACTTGAGATGTTTTTATTTTGTATACTTGCACTGTTATGGCAGAGGAAATCATTTTATACTTGAAGGCATTTAACTTGAAGATGAAGTCTGAACCCGAAGCTTCTCGCAGGGCATACTCAAGGTCGGTATGACGTCAGTGAACCCAGTCGCCTCTCGATATGGCGTCAGTGATCGCAGTCTTGTCTCGGAATGAAAGCGTTTTCAAAAGAAATGCTTCGTACGTGCTAGTCCGATCGCATTTATGCGGTGAAGCTTAAAGATGACGATGTATACAGTCTGTTTCACACAAGGGAAACCACGTAGCGTGTCGCATCGCGATGTGGCAGTCACGTGCCGGCAGCAGCTCGCAACGCTTGAAGGGCGTAGTGCTGAACGGTTGAAACCGCGCCGTCGGCTACGGCAACGTGCGCTGGCCAGCGGACGAATTTAATCGTTACTGCGGGAAGCGGGCTGATATCGCTCATGGCGTCACTGCGCGCCTCACTATACCGTCCAAAATGAGCGCCATCATCGCTGCCGCTGAAGATATGACGAGGTATTAGGGAGTTTAGAATAGCGCACCGCGAGCCCTTGCGTTGCGGTCGCTGCCACGGCACATGCGTCGTAACGCGAGTCGGCGTTCGCGTACCGCATGCAAAAAACCGAAATTGCGTGCGGTTATAGCGGTCCGCATCTGGCCCGCAAGCGCTGGTTTCGAGGCTACGGGTGGTGATGCGGCCCGCATGTGGCACGCGAGCACTGGTTTCGAGGCTACAGTGTCACTGCGATCGTGCGTTGCGGTGCAGCAGGGCAAACGCTATTCTAAAACTCATATGGTGCCCGCAACGCCCGCAGCGCTTGCAAATGGTATTCAAAAACTCCCTATAAAGTGAAGTTGGCAGCTTCACGCAAGCATTTCGGCGTCGCCGAGTGAGTGCTGCCTCGAGTAACGAACGCCGTCAAGAAAAAGCACCTTCAGGTCGTTATCTCGACCTATAGCACTCCTGAACTTGTTTGTTTCATTGGGTTGAACACTCGTAGCAGTGCGGCAATCGCTGTAGAGTGCTGCATTTTTCTTTAACGTAAAATAAACAGCACGCATGGTACGTGCGCATTAAGGTGTTCCCCATCGCAGTGTACTGCGGTGTACACAAAGAGGAGAAGTATGCGTGAACGCACTCAGTACCACGGAGTTTCGAAAGAGCAAACAACGTATGTTGTCAAATACTGTTGGTAGAACCCCGTTATCGACAATGAAGGCTGAGAGGTTGGCACTGCACAACATAAGCACACAGTATCGGCCTAGTTCCCGCAGCAATGATAAAATCAGCAGGCTGCCCGACAATGTGGCCAGCGCGCACCACCGTCACCGACGATGTGGTTCAACACCACGCTCCTCAAGCGTCTGCGCATGCGCGAGCTGCTGCCGCGTGAGACTGCAGCGCTGGCCACACCGCGATGCCATGCACTCCGAGATTTCCCCTAGTGTGAAAAAGGCTGCACATTTTCTTCGTCGATAAACGACTGCCTTGTTGCTGGTTAGCCAGAATTTCGAGACCTGTGACCTCAAGATGGTGTAGTGTGCGTATACATTCAGGGTGGTGCCGTCATGTACGATCAGATTGCAATTTGTAAAGGAATCCTTTAAATACTTCCAGCCGCATGTATAGGTACTACCGGCCTCTTATATGTAGCTTCGAGTGGCGTCAGCGCTGCATATTTCGGGACCGAATATAGCAGCCATGGTTTCAAATGTCAAACCGACGGTGACATCAGCGTAGCTCACAGTGTACTTTGCAAAAACAGAAATGCTAAAGGTGACGCACATGGCCGAGCATGCTCGGGGCCTCCAGGATCAAATCTTGGTGATCTAATTATGGCGCCACGTGGACATGCTAAATTAGGCGAACGGCATGAAACACCTTTGAGAATGGTCTGTGTGCAAGAGAGCGCATTCAGATGCTTTTTTTTTTTCGCTCAAACACAAAAATGATTTAGAGTCAGCGTTTAATCCAACGTCGATACAGTAGGGTACCTTGAGAGACACCACGACGACAACACAAGATCGAGTAATTTTGTGCAACCGTTCCCAACATGTTTATATCTAATGGGCTTGAATTTATTAGCAGAGAACGTGGCAAACATCCATAAGTGTATTGAGTGGTATTTCTTTTTGCGTATAGCACATATCTGGTTGACCCGCTGGGGTGACTCAGCAGTTAGGATGGTCGGCTGCTGACTATAATGATTCTATCTCAGCAGTGGCGGTCGCATTTAGATGGTAGTGAGATTCTAGACGTTGATGTGCTGTGCGATGTCAGTGCACGAAAAAAAAAAAGACCACCATATGGTCAAATTTATGCGGAGCCCTCTGCTACAGCATTACTCCTAAGCTGAGTCCTTTAGCAATTTTAAACCTATATTCTAAGTATGCCTCCATGTCCTACCAAACTGTCTATTTACATAAGAGTCTCGTTCGTTCAGAAGTGATAACAGAATACCTTTAAGTGGCAGTTCCATCTTAGGTTTCAGTTGTGCTTCGCTTCACAATTCGCAGCATGCTAGCTTCGCACCTGGTGAGCCGGTTCACGGTCTGGGATTACGTGGTGTTCGGCGGCATGCTGTGCGTGTCGGCGTCCATTGGAATATACTACGCCGTGATGGGCGTCCGCAGAAAGGCCACCACCGACGACTTCCTGATGGGCGGCCGCAGCATGAGCGTCTTTCCCGTGGCGCTCTCCATCCTGGCCAGCTTCATGTCGGCCATCACGCTGCTCGGCACGGCCTCCGAGATGTACATCTACGGCACGCAGTACCTGCTAATTATATTCTCCTACTGCCTCGTCATCCCGGCCACGGCGTACTTGTACATGCCCGTCTTTTACCGCCTGCACGTCACCAGCGCCTACGAGGTGAGTGGAGCCCACTTCTATACCGGCAGCTTACGACACGAGACTTCTCTTACTGCCTTTTCTTGCAATACAGTTTATTAATCGATTAATTTATAACTACCTGCCGCGTCATGAATGCATTCATGGTGAGCCTGGTACTCACTAAGGCACCAAGAACAGAAGGCATGGAAAAATTGCATCTTAACCTGTACATTTTGAACACATGCTCGAAGCCCGTTTCTTGATAACATAGTTGCCGCATGGTGTTCGATATTTAAAAAGTAATTTCCAGAATCATCCATGCGTAGATGAACAATCGGGTGCAGCACAGCTGGCTAACGCCTATACAGTACAGAAAGGCTACTCAGGCAGATGTGTATCTAGTAAGCAATGGGTCTTAACAATGAATCTTTCTAACAATGCAGTGCAACTTTCTAGACGGGTCTATAATTAGCGGGCATACTTTAATCGATCAGTATCCCATTTTTATGACACGCTTTTTTTTTAAATCGGCGATGTGGAACAGAAATCATACGTTTTCATCGTTGTCCACCACAACCCGACAACAGTCGAACGTCTTCATATCTATATGCTTGTCTTTCACGAGTCTTCCAGCTGTACCTGTCTCCCGAAGCGTGACTTTTCGATGATTTGAAGACTGCATGGCCAAGTATCAGGTTCCACTTCGAATCGCCTTCTCAGCACGCCATGCATCCCGAGGATAGCGTCGAATTTCCCTGCGTGCTTTCACTGCGCGCGTTGCTTTTCCTGACGTCAGTGCCGGCCTTGAGCTGTCGGAATTTGTATTGTTATGTGACTTTAAAGTATTTGTTTCTTGCACACGCGTCCCGAAAATGACAAAAAAAAAAAACTTGAGACGACCAAGTACGGCTCGGAAGAAACGTTTTTCACGCTTTTTTGGGTGTTCATGTGCCCTTTAGACTCGCTTCGTTTAACGTCAAGCAGTGGACGCTTTTATTTGCTTTAAGGCAGTGCGTTTGTCAACCATTCACTCGCGCCTCCCCCCATGCACGGTGGTCTAGCGGCTGAATTACTCAGTTGCTGACCCGCAAGTCCCGGGATCGAGTCCCGGATGCGGCGGCTGCATTTTCGATGGAGGCGAAAATGCTGTGGGCCCGTGTGCTCAGATTTGGGTGCACGTTAAGGAACCCCAGTCCGGAGCCCTCCACTACGGCATTTCTCATAATCAAAAGGTGGTTTTAGGGAGTAAAACCCCACATATTAAACAAGCTCTAGTTATTTCATGACGAGCATTTTTGCATTGTTCTCATGTTTTTACATAATTATCATCATCACCATCATCATGTTCATCATCATCATCAGCCTGACTACGTTCACTGCAGGACAAAGGCCTCTCCCATGTTCCGCCAGTTAAACCGGTCCTGTGCTTGCTGCTGCCAATTTATACCCGCAAACTTTTTAATCTCATCTGCCACTAAGTTTTGTATTATTGTAACTATATTTTTTATTGCTATAAAGAGCTATAGGCCTTCACAAATGCCACAACTATTCTCTTTTACTTACGTCTATTTTGTAGTCCTATAGCACGTGAGCGGCGACCAGACTTAACAGTGTTTAGAACACGTGCAACAGAAAAAAAAAGGTCAATGGATACCAAAAACGAGACACAAAATACCGAAAGTGATTCCCGCACACAAGAAGTAAAGGCTTGCAAAACAATGCCGTTCACGAGGCCCACGGCGTCAAAAGACAATCGCGCCACACGCCAGCGCTGAACAGAAAACGGCGGAAATGTTTCCGTTTGCCCCAATTGCTCGGGTTTCCACCTTCTTCGTAAAGCTTCCGTCGGACACACGCTGAGTATGGAGAGACTTTTTTCAGCCGGCACTCGCGATGGAGCATCGTACGTCACCGGAAAGAAAGTGTTGGTTTTTGTTACTTTAATGCATCGCCGACGCTATAGAGAAACAAGGCACTGGGTCATGAGGGTGGCAATTCAGGCTTGTTGGTATGGTAGCATGATAATATATGGTAGCGCAGACAAAGATCATGGACAAGAAAAGGCACATTGTGCCTTCTCTTGTCCTTGTCCTTTGTCTGCGCTACCATATATTATCATGCTGGGTCATAGCTTATGAATGGTAATGAATGCCAGTTTGGCGGCAACGCTTTTGCAGTTGCAAGCCAGGCTGCTGGAAACGATACCCGTTCCGACGACCTCAGTGTGATGAAAACAAAACAAAACAAAACAAAACGCCAGGTCTTCGCCGAAGTTGCAGCAGAGCTACGGCGACAGGTGGAAGAAATGTCTTTCCGGACGCTTTTTTTTAAACACTCTTCTGACAACTATTACATGCACGTGCATGGAACTCACTACATAAGTGATCATAATTTTTGTGGAGTACTGAATCGTTCACTATGTCATTATTCGTTATTCTTCGGAGAATCGCGGTACCCGCTAAATCAGTGTATCGAAACGTAACGAAAACAAAAACAAAGCTATATTTTTGATCGGAGTAAAAACATAAACGAAACGTTATCTATTATTTAGTTCCGGAGTGAAACAAAAACTGTTATCATTTTTTGGTTCACGCGGAAACTTGTCAATCCGGAATAACCAAAGTCATGCAACGTCAGCTATTATAATTATCTCAGGAACAGTACTAACGCGTATCTCGGACAGGAATTCCAAAGTAAAGATGTGTTTGAATTGTGCGGGAAATAAAACCAGTGGCAACCAGTGCAGCGAGCACAGGACCTTTATATTAACTCAAGTGTACTTTCGTGTGCCTGTGACTCATTCCAGCGTAGGAAAGGCATTTTCGGGGCGAAATCTTGTTGTACATAAAAAGCAGTCTCGCATAAGAGAGATATACGTTCGATGACGGGCTACTTCTGAGGTCATGCATAACTCTCGTGATGCAAAGCATTGAGCCTACTAAAAAAAATTCATTTCTTTTTGAGAAAGGGTAATATAACTTATAACGGGTGAGGGGGAGACAGAAAGTTAGATAGGCAGATGAGATTAGGAAGTTTGCGGGTATGAAGTCGCAGCAGCGAGCACAGGTCCGAGTTGACCGGCGGAACATGAAAGAGGCATTTTTCCTGCAGTGGGCGAAGTCAGGAGGATGATCATGATGATGATGATGCTATTGATATCTTAAAGGGACATTAGTTTGCACTGAATTGTAGGAATCCGTGGTGCGGCAGCGACACACGTGTTCTCGCCCTGTCACCCTTTCTTGAAGGAGCGTGATTAACTATACGGCTGATTCAACATTTTTATGGTTAATCTAACTTCAAATTTCTGCATGCTAATAATAACTATACGAACCATTATGGAAAGATATATTTTCATTCCGGAACAAAAACGGAACGGAACTTTCAGCGTTGAAACGAAAATAAAACCGAAAAAAGGAAAATCACAGCATATCCATGGAATGAATGATGATGAGTGGGACGAAGCGTTCATCAATCAGTCCGTACTTCCGTCCATGCATCCGTCCGATTGTGAGTCCGGCCGTCCATCTAGGGAACACTTCAAGTACCGCCATCTCGCTTCTTTTTTATTATATATTCATCATATACAAGTACAGCCATCCAGCGGACAATCCAAGAACTAAACGAGAGTATGTGCCACATTTCTGCTTTGAGCGCTTTGTTAACACTAAGAGAGTGATAACGACACCGTGCTACGTTTTTCGTAACATGTGGACATGCGGATATGTTCCCGAGGGCGGGTATTCCACTGGTATGCGGGTATGTGCCAGTGGTTACGCGCTACAACAGGGGACGCACAGGCCACGCCATGAGAAGCTTCACCCCTAAAACATTTCGCGTGACACCCTTCTCTGCACTTTGTAAGACATTAGGGGCACTTTGCTGAAACTGTGGCTGATGCCAATGAAGAATTATGCCCGAGGCTTTTGTGCTTATCATCTAGCGGAGGCTTGTTCGGCGCAGGCATAATTCCTGACGCAGATTTTTGTAACTTCGCGCAAGTGAGACGCAAACAAAGCTAGTAGTGAGTGATGAAATCACTCAAAATATCTCGTTCCACATTATACCAGAACGAAACAGTATCACTGTCACATGTTTATGCCAAGGTATGCGTGGTGCATAGGATAAGATCCGAATGTGCAACAATACCCTTCATCCACCTCCGCTCTCCCCCACCCCCCTGCCAAAGAAATCAAAACAAAGCAAAACGGACAAAAACAAAAAGCAAGAGTGCACCCTCAGACGCACCAGCACTATAGAATACTGTAGTAGAATCTGTGTAAGAATTAATTCCCTAGAAAAACAACTGTAGGTTTACTAACGTCAGGCAGATATTGGAGATAACATTTTTTGTTGCATTATAAACATCTACACATTCACAATCACCGTATACTATATTATGTAATTTATTCCCACTGCATATACTTTTTTCAAATTTCGAGATGGTCTCCAGATTGGGTGTATTTTCCTGATGTGCGTTTGTGTACTGCAACCTAACAAGATTCTGTTCATCTTCAGAATCGTGGGTGGCAATGCTAAGCGACATTAATTCATTTCAAAGAAAGCGGTAAGTGTTTAGAACCTCACTCGAACAGAAATCACTTTAGTCCCTGAAAAAACTAAGTATTTAGTCCCTGTATAAACTCTTCGTGAAGCAATGTTCTCTTTCGCATGTTTCGTTATCAATTAGGCACCTTTGAGAATGGTTGAGCGGGAGGTTGAGTGTGTGTGACTTAGCCGCTTCAAGAAATGTATACAGGAATTAACTGTGCTGTATTGTAATGTATACAGTACTGTACTGTACCATAATGTACTTTACTGTACTGTGGTGTATCATTTTTAGCATGTCATGAAGCAGCCAGCAGAGCCCCGCCGTGGTGGTCTAGTGGCTAAGGTACTCGGCTGCAGACGCGCAGGTCGTGGGATCGAATCCCGGCTGCGGCGGCTGCATTTCCGGTGGAGGCCGAAATGTTCTGGGCCCGTGTGCTCAGATTTGGCAGCACGTTAAAGAACCCCAGGTGGTCGAAATTTCCGGAGCC